CGGGCGGGGGCCAGCCCCTGAGACCGGGTGGGTACCGCCTCCAGCAAGGTGTGGAGCTGGCGGCCCTGTCTGACCTGAGTTCTCACCTCCCTGAACTGCCACGGGCCTGACTCAGGCCTCATGGCAGCCAAGCTCCCACCTCTCGCCACGCAAAGGGCGGAGGCAGCGACTCACCAGTAGGAACGTGCTCCAGAGGTCCAGGAACTTGAACCTCCCAGACAGCACCAGCTTCCAGTACGCGACGGCCATGTCCAGGTCTGGCAGAGGGGAGGACGAGAAATGAGCCCACTCTTGTCTACTGCATGGACAGCCTCTTAGCACACAGCCCCTCACCTCTAAAAGCGCAGGAGGCCTAATTGCAGTGGCCCGCGTGGCCCACGCGCTTCGTGTCACCTGACCTCACAGACTGGGGGCTTATCTGGTATGCATGGAACTGCTCCAATTCATCGTGGGGGAGACCCCTACTTTCATTTACACTGGGCTTTTTTTTTTTCTTTACTATATGCTGTGTGTGCTCACCAGATAGCGAGAAGGAGAGAGAAAATGAGAAATCCCCCCCAGGGAGGATGGCCACATTGCAATCCCTTCTCTGGTCTTCCTTGGGATTTGGGACACGCGTGCACAAACACAGCAGGTCCGGGATCGAGCCTCAGAGTGAGCCATGTGGGACCCAGCTGCCAGCCCTGCGGCGGGGTTTTCAAACTTGGCCTGCTTGGGGCCCTATTAACACAGATCACTTATTTTATGTTTTCGATAATTTTTTCATTTAACTTTATTTATTATTATTTTAATCTGACCAGAGAAAGACAGAAAGTGAGAAAGCAAGCCACTGGGTCCAGGACTTGAACTGCGGCCAACCACGTGGGAGTCCCTCTGGACACTAGGACGCTCAGCTCGGGGCGGTACTGCGTCCTCTCGTCCCCTCTGGGCACTGGCACGCTCAGCTCAGGGCGGTACTGCGTCCTCTCATCCTCTCGTCCCCTCTGGGCACCGGCACGCTCAGCTCAGGGCGGTACTGCATCCTCTCGTCCCCTCGTCCCCTCTGGGCACCGGCACGCTCAGCTCGGGGCGGTCCTGCGTCTTTACATGCACGACATGGGAGTACCTGCAGGAGCTCAGAGGCTTCTTTCTTAAAACCAACCACCTTAGGGTCAGCAGGTGGTGTGGTAGGCGCTGGACTCCCATGTGGTTGGTTGTGGTTCCAGCCCGGGACCCGGCGTCTTGATGGTCACACCAGACACATGTGCATGTTTGCATGCCCAGAAGCCCAGGAGCAGTGGAGAGAGGACTGCAGCATGGCTGTTGTCTGGGGTGACCTCTCACTTCCTCCTCTCTCTCTGGTGAGCACATGGACCCTCTGGCAACACAACACAACCGACCCCTAATTAGGCAATGAAGAACAAGTGCGGGGCCCACTGGGCGGCATAATGGCTGTCACTGGACTTCCACATCGTGGACCGCAGTTTGCTTTTTTGTTTTTTTGTTTGTTTTTGGGAGGTTTTCACTATATGGCGTGTGCACTCGCCAGGCAGACAGAGAGAGACATAGAGACAGAAAGCGAGAAATCACCCCCCAGGGGGGATGGTCACGCCGCAATCCCTTCTCCTCCATTCTCCTCTCGGGATCTTGGGCACACACGCACACGCGCCCGGGGTGAGTTTTAAGCCACCGGGTCCGGGACGCGAACCGCGGTCAACTACGTGGGAGTCCAGTGACATAGCCATTACGCTAACTGCTGGTTCCCTCGTGGACCACAGTTTGAGTCCCAGACCCGGTGGCTTAAACTCATGCTGGGCACGTGTGTGTGTGCCCAAGATCCCGGGAGAAGACTGGAGAGGGGACTGTGGCATGGCCATCTCCCAGGGCGTGGTTTCTTACTCTCTGTCTCTCCAGTGAACACATTCGCCATTTCTCTCTTTAAAATAACCAGACCACCACAGAACAGGCAAGCGAGGTGACCCCCGACGTGTTTATGTGCCTGCATCAGCTAAACAGCGTTAGAGTGAGTTAATAATTTATATGCAAATACTCCACACAGCACTTCTCAGGGGCTTTCCACTAACTCCGGCTGGCCCCACCGGAACACGCCTACTTGTTAAGCTGGGTCTCTGCCTTGGGGGTGCAGGGTCAGCAGCACTGAGAGACAGCGGGTGCGGCCTAGCGCAGCTCTCAACGACACTTCCCAGTCCGAACCGGGGCCTGCCCAGGACGGCCGGCGGTCTGCGACTGGCCTGAGGCGGCTCTCGGCCTTACCTGTGGGGCCCTGGTGTACGGCTGAGGGGACTGGCCCTGCTGCTAAGGCTACATCCGCACCCCTTAGGGAGGCCTTGATGGAAATCTACACCCACTCAGCTCCTGAGGGTGAGCTCCCACTGGGAGATACGGATGGCCCGAGGAGGAGAGAAAACAGCTTCTGGACACTGACGTGGGTCTCTCAGCTCAGTTTTCCTCTAAGGCTTTTGCTATTGGGTGCCTGCACCCGCCAGAGAACCAGAGAGCGACAGTGCGGGGAGAGGGAATCACCCGGGGAGGGCCCCGCAGTAGTCCCTTCTGCTCGTCCCTCGCGATTCCGGGAATGCACGCACGTGCACTTTGCGTGATTTTAAAACCACGGGCAGCCATGTGGGCAGCCATGTGGGCAGATGCCTTACCCACCGCACCACCCGCTGGCCCCAAGCCCTGCCTTGCGAGGGATGGGAGTGGCACTCACCTGAGTGTTTCTGTCTGCGATGCCTGGTCGGGGCACACGGAGAAGACGCGCCCGACTGCAAGAGGGATCTTTTCTAAAACTTCTTTTATTATTTTTTTAAAAAGTATTTTATTTAACTTGATTTATTTTTATTTGACCTGAGAGGGACAGAGCGAGCGAGAGAGAGGGAGGGAAAGTAAGAAAGCAAGCCTTCAGGTCCAGGGCTTGAACTGTGATTGGCCCTGGGGGAGTCCAGCGCCCTTAACCACACTACCTGCTGGCCCAGCAAGAAGCGTCTTGGGGCAGACGTTAAGCTCAGCAGGGGTCAGACTCCACTTCCTCAGGGCCGTCTCTAAGCCGGCTGGCTCTAGGGCCTGGATGTCAGCGTGTGGGACAGAAGGGTAGGTCTCTCCTCGTCCCACTTCTCTGTGGCTGGCCATGCTTCCCGCGGGCGCAAGCACAGGGGCTCACTGGTGATGAGGGCACGGCCACGCCACAACACCCGTGGGCATGAGCACACTGCAGTCTCCTGCGTTTCTCCAGCCTGTCAGGTGTTCGGGCACAAACATGGGCCTGGAGTGTTCCAAGTTGCTGGGGTCAGGATTCAAGCCACAGCGGCCACGTGGGACACAACTCTCTTCACTGCTAGTCGCTGGGGTCGGCGCCGCCCACGCCTTTTCTAGGAACATCAACAGTTGAGCTCCCGCGGGTGCTCCAGGGACAGGCTGCGTGACGAACACATGTGGACACCTGGACACGGCTTTGCCTCATAGTCATAAAGTCACTCTTGTTCTCTCTTTTTAAAAAGTTCTCCAGTTTGGGACCAGCAAACGGCATAATGGCTACGTCACTGGACTCCCACGTAGATGAGTGCAGTTCGGGTCCCAGACCTGGCAGCTTAAAACTCACGCTGGGCACATGTGCATGTGTGCCCAAAATCCTGAGAGGAGAAGGGACTGTGGTGTGGCCTTCCCCCTGGGATTCATTTCTCGCTTTCTGTCTCTGTCTCTCTAGTGAGCACAAGTGCCCCATAGCAAAAATCTCTTAAAAAAAAAAAAAACCAAAAACTCTCTAATTCTAAAATAGTGTGTAATCCATTTGAAATACTCACACGGTCACATCATTTTCTAGAGACTGCTGGTTCCCTTTAATATAACTCATTTTCTCTTTTACTCTCCTGAAGCAGAGAAACACCGCCAGTGGCTGACTCCCTAGTGAATGCTTCTGGAAAACAATTTACCTGTTCACAGAAATACAGTGAGAAGAGAATCCTGTGCTCTATGGGGGATGAGGGACAAACTACCAATCTGCTGTGGCCTTTCCTGTCGCCGGGCAGCTGCGGGACGGGTAACTCCGCCGTCAGACACAGCCACGTGAGCAAGCGCTTCGGTGCCTGGTCCTTCACACCGAACTCTCCTGGACACGCCCGGAGAAGGAGGCAGCGTGTAGGCAGCACTGAACAATCGGCAGAGACGCTAGTGCACAGCTCGCCGTGGAGCTGCGAGTGGCCGTCGAGGTGTGAAGGTGGCTGGACCCCACGATTGCACGGTTCAGGTTCCAGACCTGGTGGCTCGAAAAACACACTAGACATGCCAATGTGTGTCCAACATCTTGAAAGGAGGAAGAGATGGAGGAGAAGGGGTTGGTGTGGTCATCCCCTGGGAGGTGAGAAATCAACTCCCCTCTTGCTATTTCTCTCTGGTTTGCGCACATGCCTGATAGTATTTAAAAAAAAAAAAAAAAAAAAAAAAAGGAAGGGAATTCGGCCACACAGTAAGGCATGGACACTGTGCTAAGTCAGACAGGTCAGTCACAAAACAGGCAAACCCTGTCTGAGGCCAGCAGGTGGTCTGTGGTTAAGGCAGCTGATCTCACATGGCTGACTTCATGGTTCGAGGACCAGAACCAGAAGCTTGAAAAAACACGCCAGGTGTATGCATGCACCCAAAACCCTAAGGGGTAACTGGAGGAGAAGGGACGGCAGTGTGGCCACCCCTCAGGGATGATCTCTCACTGCCCTTCTCTGTCTGTCTCTCTCTCTAGTGAGCACATGCGCCCTATAGCAAAATAAACCAGAACCAGGTGGGGTCCCTCCGCGGGGCACTGATGGAGATGAAAGGTGGGGACACGGAGGACAGTACGGGGAGGTGGAGGTGAAGGCGTTCCAGAATGAACGCGGCACAGGGACCAGGTCACGGTCTCAGGTGCCACTTCCCACAGGGCCCCGGGAGAAGAGGCGAGGCCAGGCCTGGGCAGGGCACATCCCAGGAGCCTGGAAAACCCTGTCCTCAGATAAGAGGGGGCAATCGGCTGACCAGGGCCACACCAGAGGACTCGGTGCCAACCTCAGGAGGTGCCACCAGCAGAGGGGACAGCTCAGTTTCACAGAGGCCAGGGCCTGTAGCGTCGGGCACCTTCTGATGAGCCAGGCTGCGGTTATCTGAATAGGACACAAACTCTGACCATTCCAAGGGTGTCAGGGGCCAGCTCTGTCCTGAGGACGGACCGTGGGGCTCCGAGCCCAGCACTGACCCTGCCTGCTGGCACCTCTGCTAACCCACAGGAGAGGCCCAGCACAGCGCCCCGGCATGAGCTCCCAGCTCCTGAGTGCAGGCACTGGTCTGCGGGGCGCACTGGGGAGGATGGCTGCCTCGTGGGCCAGCCCACCCAGGGCCTCTGAGGGGAGCCAGCAGGAAGCTTGTGGGTCCGTGACCACATTTGCAACAGAGCAACCCCGACACTGAGAGGAGGGGCCAGGGCTCTGCACTGAGAGTAGCACGGCCTCCCTGCTCCGAGATGCAGGCCGGCCCTCCGCCTGAGCGAGTGTGACAGTGGGCGTGGCAGCGGGACGGGCGTGCGGCGGTGGGGTGCCAGCGCAGGAACACGTCTGGCAGTGTCTCTGGGGGCGGTCCAAGCTCCTCTCCAGCATCCCTGCACGTGTAAGCCACCTCAGACACTACCCTTCACAGCTGCTCTCCTCCCACACGCAGCCTCACTCCCCGCCCAGCCCGCGTGGCAGAGCGTGAGCCCCCGAAACGACGCAGTCTGCCACGGGGCCACGAGTGCAGGCTACGGGACCAGACGGATGTGCAGGAGGTACGTCAGAGATGAGTTCTGGGTCTAAGGAGCACACGGGACTCTCAGACCCACACCTCGAACTGAAAGTTCAAGGCAGGAAACCTCCAGATGTGGAACTGGATGGCACAGTGGTTACATCGCTGGACTCCCATGTACCTGACTGCACTTCCCATCCCGGACTGGTAGAACTTAGGCCAGGGCCTGTAGCGTCGGGCACCTTCTGATGAGCCAGGCTGCGGTTATCTGAATAGGACACAAACTCTGACCATTCCAAGGGTGTCAGGGGCCAGCTCTGTCCTGAGGACGGACCGTGGGGCTCCGAGCCCAGCACTGACCCTGCCTGCTGGCACCTCTGCTAACCCACAGGAGAGGCCCAGCACAGCGCCCCGGCATGAGCTCCCAGCTCCTGAGTGCAGGCACTGGTCTGCGGGGCGCACTGGGGAGGATGGCTGCCTCGTGGGCCAGCCCACCCAGGGCCTCTGAGGGGAGCCAGCAGGAAGCTTGTGGGTCCGTGACCACATTTGCAACAGAGCAACCCCGACACTGAGAGGAGGGGCCAGGGCTCTGCACTGAGAGTAGCACGGCCTCCCTGCTCCGAGATGCAGGCCGGCCCTCCGCCTGAGCGAGTGTGACAGTGGGCGTGGCAGCGGGACGGGCGTGCGGCGGTGGGGTGCCAGCGCAGGAACACGTCTGGCAGTGTCTCTGGGGGCGGTCCAAGCTCCTCTCCAGCATCCCTGCACGTGTAAGCCACCTCAGACACTACCCTTCACAGCTGCTCTCCTCCCACACGCAGCCTCACTCCCCGCCCAGCCCGCGTGGCAGAGCGTGAGCCCCCGAAACGACGCAGTCTGCCACGGGGCCACGAGTGCAGGCTACGGGACCAGACGGATGTGCAGGAGGTACGTCAGAGATGAGTTCTGGGTCTAAGGAGCACACGGGACTCTCAGACCCACACCTCGAACTGAAAGTTCAAGGCAGGAAACCTCCAGATGTGGAACTGGATGGCACAGTGGTTACATCGCTGGACTCCCATGTACCTGACTGCACTTCCCATCCCGGACCCGGAGGCTTAAAACCCACGCTGGGCACCTGTGCATGCGTGCCCAAAGTCCTGAGAACAGAGAAGGGATTGCGGCGTGGCCATCTCCTCTGCCGGGTGATTTCTCGCTGTCTGTCTCTGTCTCTCCAGCGAGTGGACATGCCCTACGGCAAAATTCTCCCCTAAAAACAAAATTCCAGACACACTTAACATGTGGTAAAACATAAGCTACTGGGGAGCAGTTACACTCTCTGAAAGTGCTAAGCGGCAGCTGGACGCACAGCAGGACTGGTCTCTGCTGGGTCGGCTCCAGCACCATCTCCAAGCCAGCCGTAGCCGCACAGGACCGCCCTGGCCTGGCAGCACCGACGGTGGGAACGTGGTCCTAACAGCACTGGCCACCCACTGACCCCTGGCCTGTCCGACAAGGCACCACACGAGACTCCGACCTGCAATCGGGCACACTCGCAGCGACGACGGAGGCGCAGAGCGGGGTGAGTACGCGTGGACTACGGACCACCCGCAGCGGGGCGAGTACGCAATGCGGCCTCAGGGCGCAGACTACAAACCAGCCGTTGACTGCAGAGAGAACCACGGGATGACAAGGACACAGGCGGGGCCCCGAAGCTGCCAGTCCCATGCCTGCGAGACCGGCTGGGTCTCGTACTCACCTAGAGCTTTCTGACCAGGGCTCTTGGCAAAGGTGAAGGTGAACTGATAGAAATCCTTAAATCTTGTGGTGTCCTGCAGCTCCCGCTCCAGCCGTGGCAGAAGGGCTCTTAGCTTGTCTGTGCTGTCACACCTGTGACAGTGGGGACAGCGGTGTTACCTGGGCAGACACACCACCTTCCCAGGATGTGGCGGGGTCACGGTGGGTGACTCCTCTTGCTGAAAGGCGTTGAGGGGCTCCATGGTGGACTGTGGGCGGCGGGAGGCGCAGCTGTGCGGACGCGGACGTCCCGATGGCTCGTGGACTGCAGCCTTCACGTGGGGGAGAACGTGTAGATGGCGTGTGTCTCAAGAAAGCTGATGAAAATGCGTGCCCTCTCCTGGGAGGGAACAGAGCCGCGGTCCAACTCTGCAGCTCGGACCACAAAGCGGCCAGCACCCCGAGGGTGACACAGGGCCAGGTGGGAAAACCTAGCTTCCTCCAACAGCAGAACCAGGCACCCTGAGGCGTGGCCCCCAACCACCTCTACGGCCTCTGCCACGCCAGCCGCCGGCCTGCCGCGCTGGCTTGGGTGCCGAAGCGCCATATAAAGCACGTATTGAAAAGTCGAACTTCCTTCCAAAATGTTCATAACCTGTAAGAATATTGAACAGCCTTGTGGAAAAAACCTAGAATAGTGGAACAAAAGCTCCTCCCTATTCCAGCTCCACGGCAAGAACAGAAGCAACCCCTCGCTCGTTGCTTTTCCGAGGACTGAGGGGAGACCTGGAGTGTCTGCGTCCCCCAGCTCGCACGAGGCCGGCACAGAGCGCCATCGTGGCGCAGTTGAGCACGCCCCACCTGCCAAGGGCTGTGGCCAGGCCTCCACGGTGACCCGCACCCCTTGGGGAGGCGCCGCCCAGCCAACATCTGCCTGGCACTGCCCCGCACTGGGTGCCTCCACTTCATGGCGCTCTCCCCAGGGCCCTTCGACACAGAAGGGACTTGGCATCTGGTTCTTGGGTCTGCGCTATGTCCCTGAGGGCCGTCCTGGGGGTGCGCAGCCGCAGCAGGCTCCCAGCCCTGCCACATGGCTGCCTGAGCTTTGGAGCTCGTGGCCGACACCTGGCTGTCTCTAGGGTCCTGCTGTCACCGTGTCACGCTCGGAGCCAATGCATGTGGGCACGTGCCTTAGGCACACCTGCCGAGCAGCCGGGACTGCGGGTCTAAGGAGAGTTCCTGGCTTCCTGCTGCCCGCTTTCACATCTGCAGTGGGCCTCTTTTAGCCATTCTAGAGGGTGGTCTGTTTTCCGGGGTTTTACAGGTTTTTTTTTTAATTTATTTTATTTAACATTTATTTATTTATTGTTAATCTGACCAGAGAGGAACAGAGCATTCGAGAGAGAGAGAAAGCAAGCGACCAGTCGGTTATGTGGGAGTCCAGCACCTTAACCACTGCACCATCTGCCGGGCCCGGTTTTTTGCAGTTTTGATCTGCACTTCTCCAAGAAATGAGAGTGAGCATCTTCCTTTATTCCCACTGACCCTTTGGCTATCTTCTTTGGTGAAGTGCTTAGTCAAATATCTCACCCATTTTTCTTTCTTTCCTGCTGGAGGGTGCCTGTGATCACCAGAGAGAGAAAAAGCAGGGACCAGCAAATGACATAATGGCTATGTCGCTGGACTCCCACGTAGTTGACTGCAGTTTGAGTCTTGGACCCGGCAGCTTAAAACTCAGGCCAGGTGCATGTGTGTGAGTGCCCAAGGTCCCAAGAAGAGAATGGAGGAGACGGGACTGCGGCATGGCCATCCCCTGGAGGGGGGGTGTGATTTCTCGCTGTTTCTGTGTCTCTCTCTTTCTAGCAAGTGCATGCGCCCTATAGCAAAACTCCTAAAAAAAAAAAAAAAAAAAAGGGGGGGGAGCCAAAGCAAGCACGCCACGTGGACATGGAGAATGGTGCTGCCACGACCCTGCCCCTCCCTCTCTCCTTCTGGGATGTTGGGCGCACACGCCCTCCATCTCAAGTCACCAGGTCCAGGTCTCGAAATGTGCCGTCAGTCATGCGGGTTGGTTGCCTTGACCATGCGATGGAGCTGGTGTGCCCATCTCTCCATCACACTGCGTCTTAGTGTTATGGAAGGATTTTTTTTTTTTTTTTGATATATTAGAGATACAAGCTTCTGTCTGGCAGGCTTTTATGAAGATGGATTCACTTTTTACTCCCTTAGTCGTGTTTCGTTGCTTTTCTGTTTTTGCTTTTAAAGACAGGGTCTTGCTGTATGGCCAGGGCTGGTTTTGAAATCACCATCCTCCTGTTAGCCTTCTAGAGAGCTGGGGCTGTAGGCCTAAGCCACCACACCCAGTCTTCTTCCTTTACAATGATTTGTTGTAGTTGTTGTGTTTCAAAACTTGGGTTACTGAATGGTCATAAATAGATTTTCCTGTATTATTTTCTAGAGGCTTTCTGCTTTTGCCTGTAGCAGTGGGATCAACAATCTATTTGAAAATGGTTTTAATATATGGCGTGAGGTAGGGATCGGGATATGCCCTGCGCCCTTGTAAACATTCCAAGATCACTTATAAAACAGTGTCTTTTCTCCACTTCCTCTAAGTGCCACCTGTCATAGATCAAACGTATTAAGATATAAGGATTCACTTCTGAGCTCTCCGTTTTGTTCCCTAGACTACATATCCATTTTGGCAGTTGAGACCGTGTGGCTTTAATGATGCAATTGAGAAATCACCTCCCAGAGAGGATGGCCGTGCTGCTACCTCTTCTCCACTTCCTTTGGATTAGGGTACACATGTACATGCACCTGGCATGTTTTTCAGGCTGCCAGGTCTAGGCCTTAAACTCTGAAGTAAGCCAAGTGGGAACCAGCCACCTTACTCACCATGCCACTAGCTGGCCCTGTATCTTGATGATACTTAAAATGACATAGATTTTAAAGCTGACCTTGTTTTGTTGCATAATTTTTTCTTTTTTTAAAAAAGGCTTTTGCCACAAAGCGCATGCACTCGCCAGAGAGATAAAGAGACAGTGATAAGTGAGAGATCACAACTCAGGGGGATGGTCATGCAGCAATCCTTTCTCCTCCATCTTCTTCCTGGGATTTTGGGCACACATGCATATACGCAGCGTCATTTTCAAGCTGCTGGGTCTGAGGCTCAAACCGTAACTGGCCATGTGAGAGTTCAGTGCCTTAACCACTACGCTACCTGCTGGCCTGTTTCGTCAAACTACTGGATTTGGTATTCTGAAATACAACGGATTTTTGTCTGCAGACCTTGGACGCTGCAGTCAGAGCTCCTTCACCACCGGAACTAGTCTTTTCCTTGCAGACTGGACTAGCTATGACCTCGGGTCGATGTGGAACAATGAGGGTTTCTTTCTGTGTCAGAGGAAAGGGGGCTCACAATCCCAGCAAGCATGTCTGCTGCAGTTATTTACCCCTGGTGAGACTGCGGCTGTCCCTAGCATTCTTAGGTTCTGCATTTTTTAAAATCACGAGTGGATGCTGAATTTTATCAAATCCATTTCCTGCACCACGATGCCTTTCTTTCCCCTTTCTGTTGCTACTGCGTAAATCAGACCGGCTGCCCCTGCATTAAAGAAAGCGCACATGCGTGGCATCATGGACGCCGTCCTGGTAGACAATCGGGTCCTCTGGCCTTGGCTCGGCTTGCCTGGATTTAGTTTGCTAAGCTAATCTTTCTTCTGATTCTACGACTGAGAGTGGCCTATAATTTTCCATTCTCAAAGTGCCTTTTCCAGATTTTATAATTCAGGTGACACTGCCCTTAAAACAAACGAGACCCTTGCTCTTCCTTGACTTTTCTCTGGAAGAGGTTGTTTAAAATTGGTGATTTTTTTTCTCATTACGGTTTTGGTAGGATGAGCCCGCGAAGCCACAGCTATATGTAGTTTTCTCTTTGAGAAGACTTTATAGATTCAAATTCTGAAGACTTAAACAACTTTTAAATTCTGCTGTAGGGTGCGAGAGCTAGCTAGAGAAAGTGGGAGAGGGAGAAAGGCCACCACAGGGCATGCCAGTCCCCTCCACCTCCCATCCAGTGAGGACTCTGGGCACACAGGCACACATGCCCAGCGTGTTTTTCAAGCTGCCAAGATTGGGATTCCAACCAAGGCCAGCCAGTGGGGTCTGACTCTCCTAACCACTAGGCTGCAGCACCAACCCAAACTTCTATTTGTCTGTGTTTTATTCCTTTTTATGAAAGAACTTCTCTACTTCACACAGGTTGCCCCATTTACTAGTATGAAGAAGATAAGAGACTTGCTTTTTGAATATCTGTAAGAATTTATAAAAACATCCCAGTTTCCTATTCTACATTAGTTATCAGTTAATCTCCACTTTTATAAGTTGTTTCAAAGAACAAATGTCCGACTTTGCTCATTTTTCCTATTTCATTATCAAGTCTATTAGTAATTCCTTCCACCTGTATTTTTCGAGTTTAATTTCCTGCTGTGTTTCTATTTCTTGATAAGAATGCTTTGCTTACTGATTTTCAGCTTTTTCCTAAGATATGCATTTAAAAAGTTGAATCCTGGGGCCAGGAGAGGCACAGCGGTTATGTCACTAGACTCCCACATGGTTGACTGTGGTTTGAGTCCCAGACTCGGCAGCGTGAACCTCACACTGTATGAATGTATGTGTGCCCAAGATGCCAGGAGAATGGAGAACAGGTTGTGGCATGACCACAAAAAACCAAAAAAGGAATCCTCCAAGTTCCTATAGGTAGTTTCTTTTTCTTTTCTTTCTTTCTTTTTTTTTTTTGAAAGATTTTTCCTATTTTTGCTAGGGTGCATGTGCTTGCCAGAGAGACATAAAGTGAGAAGTCCTCCCCCACCGCTGGGAGAGATGGCCATACTGCAATCCATTCTCCTCTCGGGATCTTAGGCATGCATGCACACAAGCCTGCCGGGTCCGGGACTCAAACCATGGTTGACTATGTGGGAGTCCAGCGACGTAACCATTACACCATCTGCTGGTCCCTTTTCTTTCTTTAAGAGGTTTTTGCCTTGGAGTGTATGTAGTCACTGGGAAGAGAAAGTGAGAGGGAAAGA